AACGGCAATCATTACGTAGAGTCGACTGGTGTGTGTCGTCGTGGTTTCGTATCAAGAATTCTCTCTCTCTCTCGATGTCATGAAACAACGCAAGGCGGACACACACATGGCACATCGCTGCTCTCAGGCCCACAGATTTTTTTACGTTCACAAAACACAGACCGAAGCAACAGCGGCAAAAGGAAGAATTCCCACGATTATTTCTTTTTCCGTGGTGTACCTGTGTTAGTGCCAGTGCGAGCCAGTCCCGTGCCCAGTCCTGTGCCCAGTGTCGTGCGAGGGAGTTTTGTTGTAAAATTCTTTTTCCGGAGTCGCTCTCGTGTCTGCTCAGGCCGGGGGAGGGCGGGAGACCTCCCGTTCCTCGCGGAACGGGAGCAGGCCCCTCCTTGCCCGGTCTGTGAAGCAGGGCGGTGGTCGTGCCATCTCCGCTTCACAACGACCACGCCGCAATCGTCGCCGGCGCGCGACACGTTTCCGTTGGCGGGACTGTCCTGGTCGAGAGTGTGTGCCGCCGAGGCGGGACCACTCGGGGACAGTGCTGACGGGACGCGGCTTGGGAGACGACCCCCGCGAAAGCACGGCTGGCATCCGTGGCGTGGGGCTCGCCTCCGAAAAGTCGGGCATGGCTCTCCCCGCAACTTTCTTGCTAACACGCGCGCCCCACCGAAACTGTGGTGGGCGCGCTGCGGCCGCACGTCTACCTCCGTCATAGTGCCACGACGTGCGGCCTAGATTTAGCACACGCGCCTCAGCTTGCATACGCTCATACATTGGACTGTCATCGCCTGTGAGTGCGAGAAGGGCTAGCCGCAGGCAGCTAGCCCATGAGGAGCGCGTCCATAGACACCTCACTAGACCCCACATACGGTCTCGTCCGTGCCTCGCAGGCCGGTGAGATTGCTAGAGGTGGAGCAAGCTGCTCTAGCCTCACATATCACTTCCTGTCGTCTGTTGTTTGAGTTGTGCCCTTGTTTGTTTCTCTTGGCACCTTGGAGTGCTGGGGGGGGCGACAGGGAGGATGTGGCCCTGAGTTATGTGTACGCCGACTCAGGGTGTGTGGCAGCCAGCTGGCTGTGTGTCTTGTGAGCTTGTTTGTGTCTGTGTGTCGCTCGTGCGTGTCGTCATCATCTGTCTAGCGTCCACCCATACCGCGTTGGTGTCCAGTGACCAGTGTCCGAGCCTGGCTGTTCTTCACCTTACTACCTACCTACCTACTCTCGTGTCTCGAGGGACGAGGCTCCCGCAATGTATTTTGTGTGCCAGTGCGCGCCAGCCCCGTGCCCAGTGTTGTGCGAAGAAGAAAAGGGAAAGGGTCAGACAAAAAACGAAGCAGGACACGTAACACGCTCGTAAACCAACCAGAACCGTCGCAGTCATCGCACCACCACCCTAGGCAGCACAAAATCGCGCCAGAGGTCCACCAGCCCCGGCGCCGCCCCCTCACCCTGCTCAAACCGCTCCTCGTCCCAAGCGATCAAATAGCCCAGCCGCATCACCTCGACCGCCCACCTGCGAGCCGCCTCCGGGAAGAGCTCGTGCGACTGCGGCGACCACTCCGCCGCCTTGAGGATCAGCCTGCCAACCTCCACCGCCTCGGTCGCTGGCTCCAGGTTGGCCGGCCTGGGGGAAGGCAGAGGCGAGGAGTGTTCAAAGAGAACATCCGGCGAGTGGGGGGAGAGACCATTGCACAGCGTGCCTCAGTGCGAGTGCCTTGGCCTCGCCCGCCACGCGCACGCCGAAGCGGCCCGTCGAAGCGCTCGCGGAGACAACGACACCGACCTTGCCATTCATCGACGGCCGCGAGACGAGAGAGCGGATCTCGACTGTGGAACCGACCGCCGCAGCGGTCGGATCCGACTCGCTCCACGAGCAGAGGACGCGCGCCCGCTCGAGGGCCGAAGGCT